TGCAAATGAGTCCCTGTGGCTCAATGAGGCTAGCCTATATAAATAAAGGTTGAATGAATGAATCCTCTTCCACTATAACTCTCAGCACTGGCTACCCCTCAGGCTGTGTGTTGAGCCCCCTCCTGTTCACTCTGCTCACATATGACTGCACACATATTGTAAAGGTTGCAGACGATCCAGCGGTGGTTGTTGTTATCCAACAGCTGCTGGCTGACGTTGCACATTTGTGGTGAGACATATTGTGTCACTTCCTGTTTGTCTGTTGGTAGCTTGAGTGAATTGTTTGCTTGAGTCGTCTCTGCTTTCTGGATTTATCTGTCTTTTGCACAGTTTTCATTCTAGTTCACAAACACACTTTGTACAGTTGTTTTTCTACTGTTGGATAGTGCTTAAAACACCTCTTATCTTTCAACACTTCTCTGTTTTTATTGGTGTATTTGGCTCTGCTAGCTCTTGCTAGTGTTAGCTTAGCATGGCTGCTGCTTCTCTCCCTGCTTCCTCTGTTTTCACTTGCTCTGTGTGTCAGATGTTTAGTTACTCCTCTGCCTCCTTTAATGGTAATGATACATGTAACAAATATAGTCTTATGGTAGCTTTGGAGGAGAGGCTGTCTGAACTGGAAGCTCAGCTACACGCTGTAGAAAAACCAGTAGCTAGCCAGGTCCCCTTAGACAGCGCAGAACCACAGAGGATAGCTCCTGTTAGCGGTCCTCCAGCAGACCCCGAGCAGCCGGGACCCCAGGCTGGCTGGGTGACGGTCCGGAGCAAATGTAGTGCTAAGGCTAAGCCCCCAGTTCACCACCGACCCATTCACGTTTCAAATTGTTTTCCTCATTCGGTGACACACCCGCTGAGAAGCAGACCCTGGTTATTGGCAGCTCTATAGTCCGAAACATGGCTTTAGGGACTCCAGCGGCCATAGTCAAATGCATTCCAGTGGCCGGAGCGGGTGACATAGAACCTTATTTGAAACTGCTGACTAAGGCTAAATACAATAAGATTGTTATTCACGTCGGCGGTAATGACACCCGGTTACACCAATCGGAGGTCACTAAAATTAATGTTGCTTCGGCATCTAGAAACCAGGAGAGAAAATGGTGCTCTACTAATGTTGAAGAATTTTATTTAACTTGGAAAGATAGTCTGCTAACATATAAAAAAGCTCTCCGTAAAGCTAGAACTTTATATTACTCATCTTTAATAGAGGAGAATAAAAATAACCCTAGGTTTCTGTTTAGTACTATTGCTAGACTAATTAAAAGTCCCATTTCTGTTGAACTATGTATCCCTGCAACTAGCAGTAGTGATGACTTCATGAGATTCTTTATAAATAAAATGATTTCAATTAGAGAGAAAATTCGAACCATCTTCTACTATCTCTAGTCCCCTGTCAAATGAGACAACTTTAAAAATTTCACTAGAGCCTGATTTATGTTTGGACAGTTTTTGTCCTGTTGAGCTCTCTGAATTGTCAAAAATAATAACCTCATCCAGACCATCCACATGTCTGCTAGATCCCATCCCAGCCACACTGTTTAAAGAGGTATTTCCCCTAATTAATGTCCACATTTTGGATCTACTTAATTTGTCTTTAATAAATGGTTATGCACCACAGCACTTTAAGGTTGCTGTAATTAAACCTTTACTTAAGAAGTCAGACCTTGATTCAGAAATTATGGCCAACTATAGACCTATATCTAATCTAACTTTCATCTAAAAAATTCTAGAGAAAATAGTTGCAGGTCAGTTGTGTGAACATCTACAAAGAAATAATCTGTTTGAAGAGTTTCAGTCAGGGTTTAGAGCTCATCATAACACAGAAACAGCACTAGTAAAAGTAACTAATGATAATCTCATGGCCTCAAGACAATGGACTTGTGTCTATACTGGTCCTGTTAGACCTCAGTGCTGCATTTGATACAGTTGATCACAATATTTTACTACAGAGGCTTGAATATAATATTGGGATTACAGGAACAGCTCTAAAATGGTTTAAATCATATCTATCTAATATATTCCAGTTTGTAAATTTAAATAATAAATCTTATTCATACACCAAAGTTAGTCATGGAGTTCCTCAGGGCTCAGTGCTTGGGCCAATACTCTTTACTTTTTATATGCTTCCATTAGGTAAAATTATTAAACAGCATGGGATAAATTTTCATTGTTATGCTGATGACACAATTATATTTGTCCATTAAACCCAATGAATCCAATCAGCTACTTTGACTACAAGCATGTCTTAAAGACATAAAAACCTGAATGACCCTTAATTTTCTCCTGTTGAACACAGACAAGACTGAGGTTTTGGTTTTTGGACCTGAGCTGTTTTGTATTTGTAATTATTTTTTCTATCCTTAACGTGTTTTTTTGTCTCTCAGATAGACCTGGACCTATACCTGGACCTACCAGTCTGTGTTCGTCTGTCTCTCCTTTCTGTCCTCTCAAACCAGCCGGTCAAAGCAGATGGTCGCTTGTTCTAAGCCTGGTTCTGCTGGAGGTTTCTTCCTTTTAAAAGGGGAGTTTTTCCTTTCCACTGTTGCCACTGTGTTTGCTCAGGATGGGAGACTGCAACGAAGGCAAGATTCAACTCGTCTGCTGGATTCCTTAGATAGAGAACTTTACTAATTGGCTTTTATGTATGTGAATGTTCCTGTAAAGTGCCCTGAGACAACTTAGTTGTGATTTGGCGCTATATAAATAAACTGAATTGAATTGAATTGAATCCACTGTTGTCATCATTCTTTGTTAAAATCAAGTCTCTCTTGTAAATGAGTCCCCGAGGCTCAATGGGATTAACCTGTCTAATAAAGGTTGAATGAATGAATGAGTCCAGCTACAGGCAGGAGGTGGAACACCTGAAAAGCTGGTGCAAAGAGAATAACCTTCACATCAATGTGAAGAAGACAAAGAAAATGATTTTGGCCTTCAAAAGGAACAAACACACCTACACCTCCCTGAACATAAGAGGATCTGCGATGGAAATGGTCTCCAGCTACAAGTACTTGGGTGTGCACCTGAATGACAACCTCAGCTGGGGCAACAACACTTCCAGCATGATCAAGAAAGCTCATTGGAGACTCTACTTCCTCAGGCGGCTGAGACGAGCAGGTCTGGGAAGCTCAGTCCTCACCTCCTTCTACAAGTGTGCAGTGGAGAGCATCCTATGCTTCAGCACCAACGTGCGGCATGGAGGCTGCAGAGCTGTAGAAAGAAAAGCTTTGCAGAGAGTGGTGAAGGCTGCACAGAAGTCTGTTGGAGTCAGCCTCCCCACCATCACAGACATCTACACCTCTAGATGCAGGAAGAGGGCCTCCTGCATCATGAAGGACCCCACTCACCCATCACACATACGTTTTGCCCTGCTCCCCTCAAGAAGAAGGTTAAGGAGCATTAAAGCCCCCAGTACACTACCGCATACGTCCGTACGCGGAGGTACAAGCGTACCCCCGCAGGGCATGTCCGTGCAAAGCTCAATTGTTACAACCACATACGCATATGCGGTGTCGCACAATAAACTGCCCGGCGACGGACTGTTTTGTATGCAACACCAATGTATTAAATTCCCCTTCTTCATCCCTGATCTGGCCTTTTCTTTTGTTTTTTTGCCAAAAGACATGCGATCTCTTCCTCCTCCGTTGATGCCATGACTGAAATGGTGAGAAATGAAGGAATTTGTCACGAGCGAATTAAACTTGGGTCCAGCATGGCTGCGGGAGGGTCTGAAGATTTCCTGGTGGGCTGGTCTGATGTGTGGGCTGCAGGACCAGCACTCCCTGTTTTTTTTTTTTTTTTAGATCTTTTTATTAACAACATAAAAACACAGAACACCGCTGTGGCTGAGGCTGCCAGCACTCGTTTTTTTTTTCTCAACCTGTCTATCAGTCCAGTAGGTGTGTCAGCAAATGACCAATTGGCAACCTAAATTTGTCCTGAAGGTAAACGCCCCTTGTCTGTGGAGGTGCTCTGCAGCCGCTCAGGGTGGATGCTCGAGTATGAAGTCTGAACCCTCTGTGTACAGTACGTGCGTATGTACGCGTGGACGTACGTACGTGGGAGTATACTGGGGGCTTTAGTGTAGAACCACTAGACTGAGGAATAGCTTCTACCCTGAGGCTGTTAAGATTCATGAATCTCTAACCAGGATAATCACTGTGAACAATCACATCATGTTGCTGCTGATCTGGTTCATGTTGCTGCTGATCTGTTTCATGTTGCTGTGTTCATGCATGCTCATCTACTCACACAGACTCATGTTTGTGCTGCTGTTCGATGTAATGTTTTTATGCTATTAGTGCTTAGTGTATTTTTAGTTGATGTTTTTCTTAGTTCATATCTTAGATCTTATTACTGTTTTTCTTTTACATTTTATTGTTAAATTTAACTGGGACCTTGTGTACATAATTTCATTCCACCACATGTACCACTTGAGATGTGAATGACAAATAAATCTCTCTGACACTGGCTCTTATGTTTTGAACCACTTTGAAATGGTTGCCTCAGAGAAGTTGATGGGGGAGATGGCGGGCAACAGAAACCATCTTATCACCAGCAAACTGGTTAGTCCACTATGTGGGTGTGCTGCATGTGGGACTGAGTTTGTTGTGGCTCCTCTGACTGATGAAGTCCTTTGGATGAAGGACAAAACGTCTCAACAGTAAAATAAACCGTCCAGATGACCTGACTGAACATTGTTGGATTTTGTACCTTGATTATTGAGCATGAACTTTGATGTATAAATAAAAGTTTTAAAAAAATCTGACCAGTGAAATTACCAAACAGGTCACAGCTGAACCAATGAAAGGAGGGGAGGAGGGGGGGGGGGGGTAATCCCCCTCCTCCACTTTGTCTGTGTGTGTTAAACAGTAAAATAAAGTCACAAGGACCCACCCCTCAAGAGAGACATGTATTGGGCAACTGCGTGAGCGCCCGGGTGTGATGAGGCTAATGTTTTTGGTGGCAGGAAACTCGTTAGCCCATCCACGTTAGAGGACACTTACCAAATTCACTTGCACATATGTGCTCCAATATGGCATCCACTTGCATTTCGTTGTCACATGGAGGGCAGACAGGAGAAAAACCTGCTAAGAAAAACAAACAAAAGTGCTGCATATTATTTGCCCGTTGACAAACTATTACACTGCAACACAGCAATGAAGAGCAATGGACCAAACAACTGTCTTGTATAACCTTTGACCTTGATTTTGACCTTAGCGGTAAGGTGATGAAAATATTCTGTGACAAGCTGTCTAGTGGTGGTGCAAAGTGACTTTGTTAAATTATCTTGAGCAGATCAGAAGATATAGTAATGATGAGAGAAAGTTTACAGACGGATGGAAACTTTACCGTAATACGTCCACCGTGGATGGGCGTATAAAAAGCAACAGAAAAGGTGGTATATTATTAAAAGCAGCAGTCACTAAATTAGCAAACCACGTGTTAGATTTCAAACATGTGTGTGTGCAGAGAGGCTGCCTGGAGCTGTTTCATGGTCCGGTGACCCAACCTCTGACTGTATGGTCTTCAGCTTTTGTAGCTAGCAGAAGAGAACTCTCACTTTCTGCTGCCACACTGTTCACTACAAATCTAATCAACAGTATGTGTACACCAAAAATACTGTATGAAACTAAGTGTTTATTTATTTACAGAAAAAGCTATTAGGAAAAACAAGGTTGTTTTGGCAAAAAAGACTTGCCTGGAGGAATTCCTGACTTTGCTACAAATACAAAAAATAAAAGATAACATATTAACGCTTAGGGCAGCACGGTGGCGCAACTGGTAGAGCTGCTGCCTCTCAGCGAGCAGGTCCTTGGTTCAAACCCCGGTCCAGGGGCCTTTCTGGGTGGAGTTTGCATGTTCTCTCCGTGCATGCGTGGGTTTTCTCCAGGTGTTCCGGTTTCCTCCCACAGACCAAAAACATGCATGTTAGGCTGATTGGTAACTCTAAAAAATTGTCCCTAGGTGTGCATGAGAAAGTGAATGGTTGTTTGTCTCGTTTGTCTCTATGTGTCCCTGTGATGGACTTGCGACCCGTCCAGGGTGTACGCCGCCCCTCGCACAGTGATTGCTGGACATGGGCACCGGCGACCCCCGTGACCCAAAATGGAATAAACGGGTAAAGATAATGGATGGATGGATGGATATTAACGCTTAAGAAATTTGGCATAATATACAGGATTTTGCCCATTTTGCTACTTAACTGGCATATATTATTTAAAACTTGGAGCAGCCAAAGTGAAACAGGAAGTGAAATCAATGGGGAACTCTGGGTTTATTTATAGAAACATTCTCTGTTAGACTCAAAGCAATCTGAAGAAACATCAGATTCTCCTCTACTGTCTGTCATGTAAGTCAATGTAGCAACGCTCTGTTTACATGTTGACATCACTTCCTGTTACTGATGTCACTTCCTGTTACTGAGAATGAAAATATCTCAACAACTGTTCATGTGATTTTGTTATTGTAAATAATGTACTTTATTACAAAAAGATGTCAGATTTTAAAAGTACAGTTTGCTGTTTAACTTTTAAAGACCGAAAATAATCATTTCATGTCAAACTTGTTGATCCATCCATCCATAATTCATCCATCATCTGTTCAGTATCCACCTTCTTTACTTGCTTGTTCCTTTTAAGGTCACAGGGGTCACTGGAGCCCATATCCAGCAGTCACTGTGTGAGAGGCAAGGAACACCCTGGACAGGTCTCCAGACCATCACAGAGAGACAAACGAGACAAACAACCGTTCTCTCTCACACAGTTAGAGGCAATTTAGAGTTACCAATCAGTCTAACATGCAGGTTTTTGGTCTGTGGGAGGAAATTGGGGTACCTGGAGAAAATCCAAGCAGCACGGAGAGAATGTGCAAACTCCACCCAGTTGGGCCCCAGGCCGGGATTTGAACCGATAACCTTCGCGTAGAGAGACGGCAGCTCTACCAACTGATCAACGTCTGGCCTTCTTGTTCAGTTTTAGGACAAACATGCACACAGTTTCAGTCATATCAGTAGAAGAATGTGTCTGTTTTTGCTCAGATGTTTTTAAAATGCAGTTTTTGTTATGAAGCTCACATTAAATTGTTTCTTTTCTTTATTAAACTCTCAGACAAATTGGTCACTTAAGTGACATGTGAAACAGTAAAGTGTCTGATACTTTCAGGGAACAACAGCTGGAGACTGACATAAAAAAAAATGAACATGAGGACACTTTTTACTAACACAGTAAAAAGTCAAAGAGTGATTTTAACTGTTTTTTTTTTTTTTTTTACAAATTTACCTTTCATCTGTCTCTGCAAATATAAAGAATAAAAACTGTAAGAACTCTGAATGCAACACGAACACACAGAACACAGCCGTTAAGATGGAGTCCAGATCAACTGATTGATTCTTTCTTTGAATGAGCGAGTAAAGATAATGGATGGATGGTTGAATGGATGGATGATGGATGGTTGAATGGATGGATGGCTGAATGGATGGATGATGGATGGCTGAACAGATGGATGATGGATGGTTGAACAATGGATGATGGATGGATGCACGAATGGATGATGGATGGATGGTTGGTTGGTTGAATGGATGGATAACTGAATGGATGTATGGATGCATGAATGAATGGATGGTTGAATGACTGGATGATGACTGGATGGTTAGATGCATGGATGGATGGATGAGAAGAGTCACCTGTAGGCGTGGCCTCGGTGCCGTTGGGCATGGACATGCATACGTCATCCTGAGGGAACTGGTCGCAGGTGAGCATGTCGGGCCAGGGGTACCCGAACATTTCCATGATGGGCCGGCAGCCGTCCCGAACCTCCTCGCAGAGCCCCCGGCACGGGTAGATGGTCCGGTCCAGACACACCGGGGCGAAGAGCGCGCACAGGAAAACGCGCGTGCCTGGGTGGCACCTCTTGTGCACCAGTGGAACCCAGCTGCTGGCCTGCTGCTTCACCTCCTCCATCCGGTCATGCTCCAGCAGGTTCGGCAGCAGCATGCGGCTGTAACCCACTCCGTAACAGAGCCGCAGCTCGGCCGGGATGTCCACGCACTGGGGGGGCTTCCCGTAGTTCCGTCCCCCCATGTGCAGATCCGACTCCCACCTGTACTCATACTCTGCTGCCTTACAGGCTGACAGAAGCCCGAGCAGAACCCAGAACCACCCGGACCTCATGTTGTCCTGCTGAACTGAACCGAACCTCTGAGCTGCTCCTCTGAGCTCTGAGCACGAGCCCAGCGCTCACACGAGGGGGTTGAAAAGTCCTGCCGACCAATCAGAGTGCAGCTCAACCCCTACTGTCACTCCCCCCCCCCCCCCCCCCCACACACACACACACAATTACCAGATACACACTCACACACATAGTCACACGCACACTAGAGAGGCACGCACACACAAAGAGACGCACACAGTCACACACACCAGCCTGCTTCTCCATTCATAATGGACAGAAACGACAGAACAGTTGGACCATAACGACCTGTTCGGTTCTGTTCAGGTTCTGATGAGTTCGACTGTCTGGAGAATAAAAATTGAGATTTTATGATTTTAAACAACAACCAGAACATTTCTGAACAAACCCTGAGTGAACCAATGCAGCTCATCCAACATTTTTTGGACAGTCAGATCACAAACAGACACTGCTACAGTGAGATGGGCGTTCAAGAAGGTAAACTCTGGCAAGACACCAGGGCCTGATGGCATCCCAGGACAGGTACTGAGAGTGTGTGCTGACCAACTCACCAAGGTGTTTACCAACATCTTTAACCTGTCTCTGAGCCAGTGTATTGTGCCCACCATCTTCAAGACCTCAACTGTTGTCCCCATCCCAAAGACCTCTGCAGCATCCTGCCTTAATGACTTTTGGCCCATAGCACTCACATCTGTCATCATGAAGTGCTTTGAGCAAATTATCAAAACTCACATCTGTGCCTCCCTCCCTGACACCCTGGACCCCTACAGTTCGCATACAGAGCAAACAGGTCTACAGATGATGCCATTGCTTTAGCAGTTCACACCTCCCTCAGCCATCTGGAGAAGGTAAACACCTATGTGAGAATGCTATTCATTGACTACAGCTCAACATTCAAAACCATAATCCCCTCCAAATGTCAAGACCGTGTTTTGAACTCAGAATAAGCCAGACGCAGGAGTGCAAAAACAAGAACAGTTTTTATTAATTATTGGCTGTGGGTGAGAAGTCGGGATCAGCTGTGTTAACATGTCCTCACAGGCTGTAAGGAGAGAGTCACCTGTCAGCAATGACGTCACTGGCAGAGCAGCTGCAGTACGTGGTTTGTGGTGGGGCAAGTCCAAGAGCAGGGTCCAGATAACGAAGCAGGGATCATACACGGGGAAACAGAGAACAGAAACCAGAGCCAAGTCGTAATCCGTGATCGTAGTCGTGGAGGGAAAGCAGAGTTGTTTACCGTGGTCTGATGTGCAGTCAAAATCCAAAGAGGGACGGGCAAGGCGAGGAAACCGTGATACAGACGTGAGGTTGAAACAAGGCAAGGTAATCCAGGTTGTGGCATGAAACAAGAACTACGATGGCTTCAGAATCAGGGACCATGAGTGGTGTAATAATTCAGCTCCGGTGGAGAGTGATCATGGAGCTTAAATAGAGAGCTGAACAGGTGCATGGAATGAAGGCTGATTGCTGTGCTTAGGCTGAGGGGGTGTGGTGAACTGTTGACTGACAGGAACAGATGTGAGCGATGATAGATGGGTGATAAGCAAAACAGAGTAGGGAAACAGAAACAATGGCATGAGGGGCAGAAGTGTGAGCAGATGAGGGGTCAGCGGGGGACCGCTGACCATTACACCAAACTGGTCTCCAAGCTCACCACATTGGGCCTGGAGAAGTCCATCTGCTGCTGGATACTGGACTTCCTCATCAACAGACCACAGGCAGTGAGAATCGTCTGTCACCTCTCCTCCACACTAGTCCTCAGCACTGGCACACCTCAGGGCTGTGTCCTCAGTCCACTCCTGTACTCACTATTTACACATGACTGTACTGCCAAGCACAGCTCTAAAGTCATCCTCAAGTATGCTGATGACACCACGATCCTGGGCCTCATCACCAACAACGACGAGAGTGCCTACAGAGACGAGGTGAAATCACTGACCAGCTGGTGTCAGGAAAATAACTTCTCTCTAAATGTCAAAAAAACAAAGGAGATGATAGTGGACTTCAGGAAACAATGTGGAGGCCAATACTCCATCATCAGCATAAACAACGGTGAGGTGGAGCAAGTCAGCAGCTTCAAGTTCCTCAGCGTTCATATCACCGAGGATTTGTCCTGGACTTTACATACAGACACTGTGGTCAAGAATGCCAGACAAAGACTCTACTTCCTAAAAAGACTAAAGAAGTGTGTTATAAACACCAGCATCCTCACCAACTTTTATAGGGGCATCATTGAGAGCCTGCTGACAGGCTGCATCACAGGGTGGTAATGGTAACTGCACCAGTCTGAGACGGAAAGCTCTACAGAGGGTGGTGCAAACAGCAGAGGACATCACTGGTAGCAGTCTCCACACCATCCAGGACATATACCACAGCCGATGTCTGCATAAAGCATGCAGCATCATTAAGGATCACACCCACCCAGCACAAGGATTCTTTCATCTACTACCTTCAGGCAGACGATGCAGGAGTCTGCCATCGCGTACAAAAGGCTAAAGGACAGCTATTGCGTACAAGCTGTCAGATTACTGAACTCTCGATAAATAACATTGAACAACTGGTGATAACTAACTAACAATTCAACCTCAATGTCACTACCTGTGCAATAACCTGTCACACTACCCTTGTGGTATTATCTATCTATCTATCTATCTATCTATCTATCTATCTATCTATCTATCTATCTATCTATCTATCTATCTATCTATATATATAT